TGAAACTGCTTTTCTATATGATACCTCCTCTAAAGGTACAAAAATGTGGAATTAGCTAATTGTAGATATGGTATCCCATGACCTAATGACATAAACACTCCAGAAAATAAAATGGAATATGTGATTTCTTCTATCAACAAATGTTAAATGAAATTAACCTTGTTATAGGGAAGTGTTTAACAAGGGTTGTAAAATCTAATTACACTTCACAATATGTAAACATGACTGAATAAGATGTTATTGAATTACTTTGTTAGCTAAAGATAGGTACTTATATACATTATCATTAATCTAAAAATTATTACCTTGGTGAACACAGAAAAAGTATGCTGTCTGCTTCAGGTAGGTAGATCATCTGACCCTTGAGACGTAAGCAGCTGATCTCAGTACCAGTCAGTTCATCCTCACATTCTAACTTCTCTACATCCAACAACCCTTCCTTGAAAAGACAAGACATAACCGTTACCTAGTGCCTTTATTGCTACCTAACAATTCATCAACTTAATGCAAAGGACACACATACCTCATTTCCCACCAAGCCCTAAGGGAGAATAAGTACATCAATCAGAACAGCAGAGGGCGCTTCACCAGAGCTTTGCCAGGTAATAAGCCTTGTGGCTACCTTACACCATAGAAAAGTGACTGCCTCCTTTGAATTTAGAAAGATAGTAGCTGTGATACTGTTAACATATTTATTTCAGGCTTCCGTGAATCTTGTTTTTCCCCTGATTTTCCAGTATGGCTATAACATATATTACCAGACTCTATCAAAGAATAAACCAAGCCTCCCCATTCCACAACCTTATATTCACAGAGCAACTGGAAGTAGTCAGTTCCAAACATATAAACTATGTGTAGGTCAGGCCTTGGGCGAGATGAAGGAAAGATGAAATGTGTACTCTAGGAAAATGATTTTTACTGTATCTATCCCAAGCATAGGAACTATGAGAACTGGGCACTATTTAAATTATCAACTGTGTATTTTATAACTTTTATTTTCCCCCCAAAATGCCACCAACAATAATAGATCATTTAAGGTAGAATAAATCAATGGCTTTGGATGAAGTTAAAAAATATTTATTAGTTCTGATTTCTAAAATAAGGCACTGCAGCTGCATAGGGAAAAAGGATGTTGGTTTTATTCTGTGAAAATGGGCTGTCTCAGCAAGACATTCTAAAATTTACTTCCCTTCAGTTTTCACAGAAGCTAAGAGAGTTCCACTGCTCCTCAGGCAAACCAAAAATCAATAACGTTGCCTTTCAATAGGTCTTCCTTTGAAGTTTGTTTTTTATCTCTCTATACCTTCTTCATCTTGGGGAATGTGACCATTTTACCTCCTGAGTACTTCTAATTTGTGACACACCTTACTTACATTTAATGAAATGATATCTTGATTACCTTGCTTCTCAATACAAAAACTGTATTGATGTGTGAAAGGATCCCATGGAAACTGATATCAATATGTGGACGAACCAGAGAGAAGACAGAAAGAAGGT